TAATCCTTCATCATTTCTAATGCTTGCGCTTGCTTTCCTCAGGTGACTTCTCGTTCGCTGTCTCTCTTATAGCGGGTCCTCACGCTGTAGCGTTGCAGCAGCTCTTGGCCACCTCATACGACACGGAAGCTTCCTGCTACGCCAAGTATGCAAATGCCTCAGCCAACGTGGCAAAGCTTCGAGAAGCCGCTGGAAGGCAAGACGTGGTCATATTCGAAGTGGACGGAGGTAATTTGGCCAAGCATCGGGAAGTCACGGGTCTGTCAAAGACCGCTGCGAAAGCAAAAGCGAGGGGAGACGATGTTCGATTCAAGCGAAGCTGGAGCAAGATATACTGGGGCTTTCCTCACGTTGGTGAGTCCACGTCTGGAGTCACCTGACGCTGCGCTTGCATTTCCTCTCACAAAGACGTGACGCGTGAATTTCTCTGATTTGCAGGTCAAGGTCATGCAGACGAGACCAGAAACATCCTCGCGAATCAGCTAGCTTTATCGCGTTTCCTTGTCAGCGCCGCTTCGTTGCTCAGCGTTGGACCAGTTCCCTCGTACGCACAGCAGGGCGTCGCAAAGAAGAGCGTGATAGCGAAGAGTCGCAAAAGAGCCAGAGAAGCTCACGATGGTGGCCCTCTGAGCGATGAAGAGCATTTCAGCGATGACGAGAAAGACGCTCAGTCTGACAACGTAGACGAAGATGGCGAAGGAGGAGAAGTGTCTACAGCACCCAGATCAGAATCTGCCGGGGTCCTATACAGAGCGCCTACTCGGGCAGGTTCCATACTCATATCGCTTCGTCAGGTATCCCCTTACACTGCCTGGGAGCTTCCGAAACTGGCAAAGTCGCTACCGACGCTATATCCACAATTGTTGAGAACAGCGCCTGCTCCACCCAAGGGACAGCACACCGTCACGACGCAAGAAGCAGCAGACGCAGGGTCTTATAGAGTATGGCGAAGCTTTGATTTCTTCCCTGAGGACCACGTGGGCTATAAACATGTTCGCACGGACGCCAAAGGCAAGGAAGGCGATTTGTTCAAGGATGAAAGCAAAGCGTCTTGTAGGTGCTGGGAGCTTGGCAGATCTAGCCCAACGTAGCGCCAGCTACGCGTCGAAGGGACCAATAAGCGCGCTCTGTATCATCAACAATTATCACAAGCACAGCACTCTGTCGTACAGTCCATGCATTCTTGACCTCTGCTTGCCTTTCGTGTCATCGTTGATGTTTGTGAGCCGGCATTTGGAGAGAGGTCTAGTTTGACCGACTGACGGGAGCCGCGTCAG